AATAATAATAATAATAATAATAATAATAATAATAATAATAATAATAAAATAATGCAGTGGTGCACTCTTGCTTATCACTCACTGTTTGGTCAGTTGCCAAGCAGTGAACACTCACCTCAGCTCACTCAGGTTTTTTGTTCAGCATAGAATCCCAGGATGGTTTGGGTTGGAAGGGACCTTAAAAATTGTCTCATTCCACCCACAGCCATGGACAGGGACACCTTCCACTATTCCATGTTTCTCCAAGCCCCATTCAACCTGGCCCTGGACACTTCAAGGGATAGGGCAGCCACAGGTTATGTAGGAAACCTGTGACAGGTCTTCACCCCGTCACAGGGAGGAATTTCTTCCAAATATCCCATCTAACCCTGCCCTCAGTCAATGAGAAGTCACTTTCCCTTTTCCTGTCCCTGCAGGCCCTTGTCGAAAGTCCATCTGCAGCTCTCTTGGAGATCTCTTAGGTTCTCCATGATGCTATAAATCTGGGATACCCCCTGAGTCAGTTGGGGTCACCTGTACCAGCTGTGCCCCCTCCTCCTCATGCACCCTAATCCTGTTGCTGGTGGGGTGTTGAAGGAGCAGAAAGGCCCCTAACTCTTTGTGAAAGCACCTCAAAAATAGCTAAATCGTCAGTGTGCAACCAACATTCCCATCCTAAAACCAAAACACAATGCCATCTGTGTACTAGGAAGAAAATTATATCAGCCAAACCAGAATGCACACCAGTTTGAAATATTGTCATATAACCCACTGTTTGTTACAAATTACAGGCTAAAAAGATGAATTCTCCAGCAATATTTTCTGATATTAGCTACTTTTCCCTATTTTGCAACAGCCCATCTCAATCCATCAGATCTGAAAAGTTCCTCCAAAAAACTACTGCTGGTCAAATATCTTTACATTATTTTCCTGCATGGCACTTGGAATGGCTCCCAAGAAACACTGAAGGGAGAAAAGAAAAATAATCTTTGCCATAATTTCCACTGAAATGTTGTGACACCCTGCTTTTGCAATTACTACCTATCACCAAGGCAGCCACTGCTGTCTGGTTACTTTTAAGCTCCTCTTTTGTTATTCAACCAGCATGTCCTACAGTGCCTTATATTATGTCCCATTTTGGAATAAGGGGGGACTTCTTGTGGTAAGGTTTGGAGACTTGGCAGGGAGCCAGCTTCAAACCATATCAATGGGAAACTCTATTTTACTTGGTGTTTTAGAGTTCCTACTTCACAGACAACATGGTTTATAGTGGAAGTAACTGCAGATACTTATTCCATTGAGTGGTTGGAAACTAAAAAAAAAGTCTGGAAATGTTATTTGTGATTCTCTGATTCAAAGTGCTATGTAAAATCAGTTGCATCAGTGTAGACACAATAGTCTAAAAGAAGAGAATAAGACAAGGTAAATATATACATTTTTTTTTTTAGATTAACTGGTAGAGCTGGGGGAATCAATGTGTCTCAATGCTTACATGAACAGTAAATACAAAAGTAGTCTTTAGAACATCCCCATGTGTGTCTGGGCACTCTGTCAAGCAAAACACCAAAAGTATTTTTTTTTTAGATGAGAAACAAGACAAAATGGGATATTGTAATAACTAAATATCTGTGAATACACAACATAAAAAGTCACAGAATATAAAGTTTTGCATAAGAAGCAGCGATTTTATGGTTACAAGAGTTACAGTGATCAGAAATAATGGAGGTTTATATTTAAAAAGTAGACAAGAATTAACTTTAAAGAAAGTTTTTTAGTAAGCTGGGAAGCTGTACTTTGCAGTGTTAGACCTCAATCGGCATGACTTGTTTTAAATTGTTATATGCATTTAATCACATTGCTTCCATGAATATTTTAAACTCTTTTGAAACATATTTTTCATTAGCTAAACAGACACAAATTTCCATTACTCGTTATGGTAAAAGAAGAAAGAAAAGAAAATCCTTTAGTGAATTCCAGATTATGACTCATTTG